TTCTGATCAATAGTTTTTCTTCATCGGTCACATTTTCGTTTTTGGGATCTGATTTGGATTTGGCGATCAAATCACATCTACAAACCGTATAGAATTTATGTTCTACGAACTCTTTGTCTTTCCAATCCCAATTAATAAGTAAATCTTCTGGCTGTAACAAAAGCTCTGATTTATCATAAACTACCAGATATTCTGTTTCCTCGACAGCTTTCTCAATATATTTTGGATGAAATAATAAAACAAAAAATGTGAGCAATGTTCTTGATTGAGTAGAATTGGGAACCATTGAATAAAAAATGTACTAACAAGGTGTAATATGATATGCTCTTAAATACTTCGTAAAACAAAGCAATATTATATTTATGGTATATTTATCGTTCTAAAAGTATTATTCCCTATTCAACCTTATCATTGACAAACGTTACGGTATCATTCTTTTTATTAGTTACTTTAAAAAGCATAGTATAACATTGTTGATAAAATTATTCATTATCAGTATGGTGATATGTTTTGTTTTCGATCAAATTTTTTTGTCACCTTTTTGGCTCTGAATAGCAAAAAACAATTCTTACTAGAATTAGAACTTATGGATAGAAGATACTATTTTCTTTGTTTTCTGCGTCTCTTTTCCACCAAAGTCTAATTTACAGACTGTTGAGGCACTATTTAGACCATTTTTTGCACCAATTCTTGAAATTATTTACATAGCAAAAAATTATAAGGTTCTTTTTGTGATCAGTGTATGGTAACATGGTAAATAATCCACAATTTGCCGTATTTGGTTTTTTCTAGAATAATTTTTTACCACAACAAACAACACCATTTCGCATGACGAAGCTTATTTACTAACTCAATACATAAAAAAGAAATTATGTGTTTTAAGCGGGATAAAATAGTTGTAACATTGATCAATGAAAAAATATTCATAGATCACTTTGTTAGTTCTTTTTTGAAGATTATTATCGCCTTCAATGTTCACTATAAGTAATAACAGAGACATACTTACCATAACTACTACTACACTCAATTTTTGTAATATAATGAGCATCAAAAATGCAGAATCTAAAAATTTGGCGCCTATTATAGCTTTATTCGGCACCTGATACTGTACAACATGTCTTTTTGATTTTGTAGAAAACAATTCTCGAATTTTTGTACTGGTCCTTTGTTTTCTCTTGTTTTTCAAAGACTGCACTGCTGTTTATGGCTAATTTAATACCAGAAAATGCACAACCGAAACTAGCATGCCAAATAAGTTGAGAATTGATGCGAATCTAGGGAAAGCAATACGTTACAACGTATTGTTGTGATGAACGAGTGTAGTTACAATCTTTTTAATGACTACCATTTGCTCAGGAAATCAAAATAGAATAACTTCTAAACACAAAAAATAGTGTTTTGGTGTACGATATGTTTATTTATGGAGTAAAAATGGTATTTTCTTCTACGTATCCTCCTCGGCAAATACATAAATCCTGTAAACGCACGTGTGGTCCCTCGCACCATGATTGGACAAAATGCCGAAATCGAGCGCTTCAAAGGATGTATCATTGTGCAGCTCAAATTCTTGATACCTACCCGCTCCCTCATACACGTACTCACCAAGATTTTCTTTTTTATCGCCATTAATTCCCATTATCCTGATATTTTTAATCGCACTCGCATTCTTCTTGCTAGCGGGATGGAACAATTCAATCCTGACAATCTTAAAGGGCCTAGCAAACTTGAAAATGATGTGTCCCTCAGTGCCACTCATAATAAAACAGTTGCCCAGCTCCAAACCTTCTGACATTACACTATTTATGTGACGCCCACTTTTTTGGAATATCAAACCGTAGTAGTACGGTTTAGCACTGTTCTGAATATCAATTATCGTGCCCTCTTCTACTCTACCCACATTAAACACTCTTTTAGCTGGTTTTTGAACCGATAACTTGCTCACCACATCCTGCAAACTTTTATTCTGTGCACGCAGCAGTCGAATGTCCTTCTTATAATCCTCCTCGGTTGTGTTATGTGCTCTGTTGAGATACGTAACGATGAAAATCGTAAGAACTGAAACAAAGAGAACCACAAAATGCCGTTTTATAAAAGATGTTGTTTCGTTCTTTACGATACATGTTAATCGACAGAGTTGTGATTTGGTACTATCATTTTTGTCTAGGAAAACACTTCTCTCATAATCAATGGTGTTACAGCCGGTGATTGCCGTGTTATCAACATGTTTTTCTTCGCTTCTCTCACTGGAATGTTCATCATTATAGTGGTTTTGGTGTGCATCATCTGAGACCTCGTACCGATCGTGATCACTCTCATTTAGTTGATTATTTGAACCTTCTTCGTGCTCATCGTTTGTTATTTTAAGCCTGTTTTCATCGTCATCATGACCATGATCTGCTTGTTTCTCGTGAAGCCCATTGATAATGTCAGTGACCTTTTTCTTCAGAATGTTTGGTTTGGCAGACTTTAACGCGAACGAGTCGTCAGAGTCTAAGTTAAAACTTGATTCAGGCGTTTTTAAAAGTTTTAACATTTTTCTACGGTCCATCCTGGGGGTACTAACCACCATTGACAAAAAACATGGCGTGAATCCAAATATATTGTGAGGTGCGAATTGGCAACAAACAGCTAACATGTCGTATACATGTAATTATTTGGTTAGAATGAGAAAAAAAACAGCATTGAAGCAGTTATACCACTTTGTTGTATTTGGACTATATAAAAGGGACAGAATGTCAAAATTAAAAGAGTAAAAGATTTTGACAAGGCATGTCGTGATTGGTCGCAAGTAGAACTGCTGAATTTCTGTCTTATTCAGAATTTATAGACAATCATATCTCACTAAAATAGTTTTTTAGCACCCATGCTGGGTTAAATGGTGTGTAATTATCATAGAACGTGTCTAAACGTAATACATATAATATTGATATAAACACGGTATTATAACTATATCTGCTGTCAATGACATTATACAGGAGTAATATTTGTAGTTGAAGTGTAAATGACAGGATGAAATTAATTTATCACATATAACATCTATTTATTGATTGGCTGGAAAATAGTGATGTACTGGCGCTGATGATATGTACGAATATATCCTGTGAAGGAATATGTTCAATAAACTTAATCATGGTATATAAAAGAAGTACGATGTGTTTGCACAAAAAAATATAGGAATAGTTATGGTAGAATGAATAATGAATTTATTTACTGTTTAGATGGTTAGTGGCAGAGTATTTTTTGTTCATGAATTTTAAAGGTAGGTGATCTGCCAGGTAAATAATCCTACTTCCTTGTCATTCATACAATAAATCGCTATATTTACCATACATAGATGAATACACGTAAAAATGGCTTTATATAAACGAATAGTATCATAAACCGAATTGAGTTTATTTTAAGATTTTTTAGGCTATTAGTCCTATACGATAAACCGTGCATGTCATCAAAAAACACTTTTACAGACACACACCAATTATCTTGATATTTGCAAGAATCGTGCGCATTCCTGGTTTATTTATCTTTTGCTATTTAACAGACATATTGCTTAGCTTCACATCCTACGATAATCCCCAAGATATAATTCTAAAGCCAGCAGACAAACGAACAGACCATATATTGCGAAAAGAGCGCATGCCAGCTCAATTTCAAGCTTTCTATTCCTTATTTCGTAATTGAATGATATTATAATTCACTAGCTACGCTATCTCGTTTGCACAATGGGTGTATGAATGGATAGTTGATCAAAATAGCGCTTTTGAGTACAACTGCAACATTAGGTCATTCCTTTCTACTAACTGTTCTGTGGTTACAAATCAATAAATCACTTTCATTCCAGTAGCTCATTATACACAACATTTGTTGTGTATACTTTACCATTCTCATGCTTTCCTTGGTCTCCATTGTCAGCAACATACACCCTTAGACCGTTTGCATAGCACACTCTCGACAATACGTACAACTGACTATGCACAAAGACTGGGCTGTGCAGATAAACACCTACCTTGTCAAATGACTGACCCTGTGACTTATGGATTGTCATCGCAAACGAAAGAAGAACCGGAAACTGTCTTCTCTTGAGTATGAACGGCAGCTGTGTCTCGCTGAATATCATCGCGATCTCGCCCGTTGTAGGAACATTATATCTGTTAATGTCACGATGAATGTTCTTGTTTGACTCCACATTTACCATCAGCATGTTTCCTTCACGCACTGCACTTCTCTCAACCTCAGCAAGATTCTGCATACGGGTTGACTTCTCTTATTGTCCTGTCAATATTGTGTAGTGTTGCTCTGTCACACTTCTCATTTGCAGGGTTTCTCGATCTCAGATCTGTGGCATCGTTTGTATCAACCACGTACAACTGCGAGTATCTCCTGTTAGTGTTCTCAAGCGGGTTTATGTTGTATGTGTTGTGGTAGACCTGACCATGCACCCTGAAGAAGTACACCCCTCGTGTGAATTGCTCCACATTTGCACCCATCGACGCAAACGACAGGGCACTGTTGTACGATCGTATGTTGGCCTTGAAGTTCTTATATAGTTGTCCTGTAGTGTGTAAGCCAGCTTGCCGAAGTGACAGCAGCTCTTGTACATGCGTCTACGGTGTGTCTCGTCTTTAAAGTGCATTGCCGAGCAATTTGCACAGATCTGGTTGAGCTCACCAGCATAGTGCTCGGCTGTTTCACTTTGTACGTGGTAACCTTTGCAATCAGTACTTTCATCAGATCCATCGCCACCGGCAAGACAATCATCTGATGACTCATCATCGTGATGAGATTTGTCACTGCACTCACCCATGAAGATGATGCTATTCCTAAGATTTAATGCTTTTTTACTAATTTTTTTGCTTATCTTACGCTATAGAATCCGAAAAAACACACTTTTCTGGTCTGCTGAGGCGATCATGGTCACTAGCCCTTAGTTCATGTAGGAAAGTAGTGTACCATCTGCTCAACGCCTTCATTATAACATAGAGATGTACTGCAATTGCAATGCTGATCCTAATATAAGCCATAGTTTGCACGACTCATCGAAAAACTTTCTTCTCGGGATTTGCAGATAAACGTGATTCTCGGTAACCTAACACCCAGTCAGGAAAGCGTATTCGATGCTCAACCTATTGTTATTATTCTTAGAAGAGATGCCATATTGTTTCTCTCTCATACTTTCACAGAACGACCATTTTCTCATGTCAATATCTGTCAGGCAATAGACAAACATGAATGTGCTAACACCCATTTATTAATGTAGAACATCAGTTGCCCGATCAACAGCAACAATTTTCTAAAACAACAGAGGTTAATTGATAAAATTAACATGTCTAAAAATGCTTGTCACGCTTCTACTGGTGCATGACAGCTAGACTATCTCACAACACACGGCACAAATCGCTTTCTTGAATCACATGTCATCCGTAGTATGTTATAATAGATCACAACATTATACCAACTCTTACTTTTGTAAATACTTCATTACTGTTAAACATGACAGAGCAGTGATCTCAACGCAAGCGGTTTTAAATCGCTTTACGAACCAACAAAGATCTTAATTGTTCATATCAACAAATTTTCTGCAGCAATGGTGTTGATCATGTGCAAGAGACACAATCCATTATACTTGGATTGATAGCATCTTTCATGCTATTGATACATCTCATCAATATGTTATAGGTTGCTTGAATACCATGAACAATGAGACCCGAGATCATTACAATCATAAAAGAGAAATGATCAGCACCAGAATATCGAAAAATAACTTAATTTTTACTTATGAAGCTCGAAAATTGTTTGTTCTTCATCGCACTCATCTGACCACTCGCATCGTTCCTTAAGAGATCTGCACTTCTCAGAAAAAAGCTTACGAAGAATATGCGCTTCTTCTACAGAAATGCAAGAACTCTTATAACAGATAATCAGTACATCAAGCTGTTTGAAAGTTTCAAAAATATTTTTGATCAAGCTATTTAGCAGATCTGGCGAAATTTCTGATAACTTCTGAATTCTTTCTAATCTTGTCCAAGAATCTATTGGTGCTTCAAATATCACCAGTTTCTTAATACCTGCGAAAGCTTCAAAATCTTGACATAACATAAGTTGGATTAGTTCTTTATAAGCTGAATCTAAGCCTATATGGAGAGTGTGGAGTTTTAGATGCACCACATTCCTGCTCTTCACCAAATTCTGTTTGTTTGAATCAACTTTCACAGATCGGAATTTGTCATCATTTCGATTGGCGGGGCTATCAGATAATAGAAATATGGATCTACCGTCTATGTAAAATTCTTTCAGCTCGTTCAAAGGTTCTATCAACCTTACCAATTCACTAATGGTCAGCCTAGAATTAACAAAAAGTTTTTCTATTGGTCCCTTTAAACTGCTTAGTTGCCTCAATACAAGTTCATACTTGACATTCCAACTTCTTACAAGCATTTCAAGATGTTTCAACGTTTCCAGTTCAGTTATCATCTGCATGAGTTCTTTATCTACACGCCAGCAATTTATTCTCAGTGTTTCCAACTTTTTCATTTTTACTTCAATTGTGCTTTTATCCTTCAACTCCAAATTATTACCGCCAGCATCAATTTCTAAAACTTCAAGAGCGGCAAATTTTAGGTTAAATAAATTGGAAACATCACAAACATAACAAATCAATACTAAATGCTTGAGTTCATTTCGGTTAATTTCCTTTAGAAAATTGACAGCGAGCTCTAGATCTCTTGTGTCAATTGTTAAAAATTCTAGTCGAGCACCCTGACACTTAGAAGACGAAAGCGGTAGTCCACAATAGTTCTCGCCTAATGATAAATACCGTAGACCACTTACTATTTGTTTACTGAGTATAACACTCGCACAGTCATCCATGTTTACCGTCAGATTGCATAGTTTTGTGCATTTATTTAGATTGATTTTGATCGCCATAGAGTACTTTCGACCTAAAGCATAAGATGATAAGTATTCCACATACCTCTTGCACTTACTGAAGCAGATAGTCTTATATGACTTTGCAAAAGTCACCTTAATTTCTTCCCATTGTTGCACAGCTTTATAAGTGAGAAAAACACATTCAGTAAAACTTAGACTTTCCAGTTTCATGCTACTCACTTTCTCTAAAAATTCATCCATAACTAACATATGCTTCACTTTAAGTGTTCGTAATTTACGAACCTTTTTGAGACTAATGAAGTCTTGCACTGTTTTACAAGATTCACCGTTCCGATGTGCATGTAGATGCGTCAGGTTTAGAAGATATAAATCGGTAATGAAATCAAATTGCGGCATTTTATCACCGAGATTGGCATCATACAAATTTTTTGAGGAACTACGAACAATAACTGTCAAATATACACGGTCGAGTTTTTTAAAAATACCTTTCATCCTCTTAATCTTCTTCTTGTCAATCAAAACCTTCAATCCTCCCATTGGCTCTGCATTATCTTCCTGTTGAGCAGAAAAGTATAAGCTGAACTTCTCTGCTTCGTAGATAAATTGTATTGCCTTTGAATACTCGTGATAAAAGATTTGCCTGTTCATGTACCTGTTGCATCTTTTTAGATCCTTACCGAGTGTTTGATTGTTTAGCTCCTTGAGATATTTCACAATGCGGGCACATTTTTTGTCCGATTCTTGCTTAGGTCCATCCAGTAAGTGTTCAACATCATACTTAAGTTCTTCCTCTGTGTACACGTATTCTGAACCGTCATCACCCTCTTTAATACTTTTTTTGGTACATAAACATTGATGAATCAACAATAGTTTGCTGACAAAAATCATGGGATCCACAGAATTCTTTCCTTTTATAGTTTTAAATTTGTAAAAATGATAAGGAAATTCATTCTTATCGGCAAGTGCTTTTTATTCATCTCATATGGTTGTTGATCATGTGATTAGAGGAGAATGCCAGCATTAAATATGAATTTTTTGACACTAACAATACTGCTGCACACATTTTACAAGTTTAGTGTATTCTTTTCTTATTTATGGCATCGATCACACAAAATAGGTCTGCTTTTCTCATCAATCTGTTACAGAAAATAATGAACTAGTTGTTTGTGTGAACGAAGTATTCATGGTCAACACACTGTTGTTAATTGTACGCACTTCAGTAAGATGCATGAGTATGATAATGGAAGAATAAAAGTATTGTTAAGTGATCAGTACATTGCTGTTAAACACATATTTTGCTTTTGATCAGAAAACTCATATTGTGATTGTGTTGCTCTACCTCAAGAAAAGCTGAAAGCTACATTACAATATGCAATTATCAATGCATTATCATATTTATGTTTATTACAATGCATGTACACCAGTTATATTGTGTGTGCTAGTATCACTGCATTACTTTTCCTGTCATCATTTCCATTCCAAATGAATTTCTTATCATCAAATCAATTTGAACAAATATTGAACATAAATGTCATCAATGTTGTTCAGCTGATGTTAATATAAAATGTCACCTGCATTAGTTTTTCGAACATTGTAACTATTTAAAGCACTGTTTGAAAGTATTTTTTACTAGTTGCTGAACAAACCGGTTGTAATAATCAGTACTCGTCTTCTTTATGCTCTTTTTGCACAATATTATAGCTACATAATGTGCTAGTATTCTCATGATAATCCTTAGATGATATTTCGTTGCCATTTCACAATCGATATCACGTGTTGTAGAGCCACAATATAATTGTTACTAAACTGGTATTTAATTAAAAATATTCTATCGTAACAACATATTTACATATGGTTGTTGACTAGGAATGAGCGCCAATCACCGTAGTTTGGATGACCATATTGCATCTTTTTGACAGGCAATTGGAAAAACTGTGTAAATGACAGCAATATAAAAATGTTAAATGTGGTATTATAGTGTGATCAATTTTATTAGTATTGATTATGCAAATATTTGTGGGATTTTGTAGCAATTTTACAGCACAGCTGTTTTCTCTCAAATTGATATGTTATCAGCAAAAAGAAGAAAGAGATGTACCAATATATTGAGAGATGAGGCTGAAGCTAAATAAAGCTAAGAAAACAATACAATGCAAAGCAACATCCTAAGTTTGGGAATAACAGCTACACCATTTCTGTCTATAAAACAGAGAAAGTCAGATTATCTATTCAATGATACTTCCTTCTCTTAATATGTCATATTATTGTCATCCAACTACTTTCGCCTGTCTTAGACTTTTGTTAGAGGTCACTAAATTAATTTTTGGCAAGCAATAATCATTCATTCATTTCATATAATTAAAAAGGCAACTCGCAATCTGATTGTCCAGTTCTGTGAAATAAATTATTTGACCCTTCGAGAAAAATAAAAAATGTTCGTTTCATGTATTTGCACTGAATAAAGACTCAAAAGTTGTTGTACAACTCACTCTTTCTGAAATGCCCTCAATTGTTTTCTACTAACAACATCAAAGTTACACGATCACCGAATAGTAGCTAATTAATTAACCGCTACTATAAAATCTTAAACAATAGAAAAAACATAATATGGCATATGAAAGGAAGAAAGTATCATTGAATGGATAGAGCACTTTTTACCGTTTGATAAACGTAAATACCGCAGCTAGTGTGAAATACAACGATTGCATGTAAGAGCTGCTTGAAGTTCAGCTTTTTTCAAAATACGCTTTTTATTTTTTTCATTAAAAGTACGATTCTTTACCCCTAATACTTCAATTACCTAGGTTTGTGGCAGTTGATCGTTGTTTTGCAGTGAAACAGACTCATTTTTAAGCTCTTGCTTGGTACATTCGCCCATTTTTAACACTGAAAGATGGCCGCTAATGTTGATTTTAAGAGATTCTCATCAAAGAAATGTGTTTAGTCAGCAGCACAACCGGTGCACCAGGCATAAATACAGTTGCTATGCAGCATTGATAGTGCAAATTGGTCTGGAGAGAAACCTCGCATGTCTTGATGCAATAGCCACTTCTAAAATGGAGATCTACGATACGCATGTATAGCATGCCATAACACCAATTATAGCACACCTGAACGAACTCAAGCGATGGTGTTGCAGGAGCAATACTCACAGATAATACGATCAACAAAGCTGTTATACACTGAAGAGGTAACCTTTAAACATACATCCTCTTTCGTTTGGAATGGGTGTTAGTCTGCATGCTTTTCATTTCCGTGTAATATGTAAGCATATTATGTGTTGTTGCAAGTCCGCTTAGCTCAGCTGGCAGAGCATTGCCCTCCTAAGGCAGGGGTCAGGGGTTCAAATCCCTTAGTGGACGTTTTTTACAAGTGATACTCACCAGTCTTTCACTCCTATTCCCTCCGGCTTGTTTAAGTTTGTCCATCGCAGTGCAAAACGAGTTATAAGGAGTTGTCTAGCTCACGCTTACGTTTCATGAACATTTCTCGCTGGCCATTTACCAAAAGATAATAATTACGAATAGATGCCTCGTTCATACGAGGTAATTGCTACGAAATATTCTCTAATCACCTTGTATTCAAACGTGTTTTGCTTCGTTCACCCGTGTCTCATTCAAGTGGTCGCTGCTTTAGAGGAACACACGTTACTTCTATCTGAAAGGTATATTCGGTAATTGTTACATGGCAGTATGCAGCAGTGTAATTCTTACCAACATTACTTGTAAAGCATTGCAGCTCTGTGGATCATATCGGTCCGATCGTTTCACACAGTACATCACGATGTATGCGTTAATTTCTATCAGAAGGCCTGCACAAGGCGCGAATAAAACCGTTCTTCTGCTCAACCCAAAATTCTGATTTTATCTAACGAATGAACTCGTGAAAATGCCCAAAAGGTCCTCAGGATCACATCAAAGGAATGTATTGGCATAAATACGCTTAAAAATTGAGAAGTAATTGTATGTGCGATGAAGAGCAGTGTCATCCATAGAAGAGGGCCCTGACCAGCACAGAATGGTGCGTGTCACGATTCACAAAATGCCTGATTGTTAGCGCATCTTGTGCTTAAGGCCAAACATACTTTTCAAAACCAAAGACCCAACGATAAGCAGCATTTCAAATAAATAAGCATTAATTCGCTTGATATAGCATCGTTCTGAGCGCAAACCGCGTTTGATAATCCGACAAATATTTTTTGACCCTCATGTCAGGTTTGAGTAAAGGTAGAGATCGCTCTGCGATGGAACCGGTCATTTGAACACCTCACATTCGCAGAGACGCACTTCGCACCAGAACAGCCATATCTGCCGATTGTCGCTCATTTTTTGCCGATAACACAGGAACGTGCAGGGAACGTATTTCTTGTCTGTGCATCATGCACCTCACCTATCGCTCTTCCACTGCATCCGTATGATAACTGACCAGTAGGTTCTCTAACAGTGCTGTCCAATAATATTCGTGTGCTCGCCAAGAATTATTTGTCGCAGCTCTCCTATTTATGCATAAATTGAAAAATTTATGAACCCATTTCGAGAAACAAAAAAGATGAAGTTTTCTTTTAGACACCCGAAGGGCGGAGAGTTTGGTAAAAAAATAATAGTGGCTGAGAATTTCATCCACCTCGATTTTATGCATGACAGAAAAAATCGTGGCACGGTTTTGGTGGGCATGAGGAACAACAGAACGACCCTGGTAACCCTTAGGCTCAAAAATTCGAACGGCGAGAGCAACATACCGGCACAGATGGAAACATGGGAGCATATGTTCGAGTTCAAGATACGCCACGTGATCGCAAACATGGTGGACCAGAACGGCAACGACGTGTTCATCATCATTGAGGATGTGAGCGATGCGCGTGTGCGCATGCACCACTTCAACTTCACCACCAAGGAGACAACTCTGCTACACGAGTCCGATATGATGCCCCTCAGAATGGTGAATGAGCAGATGGATGCGTGCTTTCTCATCAATGACGCAAAAAAGCTCATGATACTTACGTTGAAGGACAATTCTATAGATAATAAATTGGTTGAGGTTTGGAACGCGTCGGTCCAGGGAATCATGGTGAAGGATCACACGTCTGCATACGTCGATGTTGACAACGACAACAAGGCTGACATAGCCCTGGACGCACAGGATGATGACGGAGTACGGGTCTTGATTCTTGTTTTGACGCATCCGAGCACCATCGATAAAAAGATACAACGGCTGGAACTGCCAGATGGGTCTGGACCGCTGATATTCGAGGATCTCAACGGTAACGGAAGGGCCGACCTGTGCTACGTGTGCACCAGCAGCGAGGGCAACCACGTGATGATTCATTTCAATCAGTACGCGAGCGAGGGTGATGAGGTGTTCTCGCACGAAACAAAGACCAGGAAGATTGATCTTAGCGAAATGTATCCCGAGTACGATCCCGTAGTGCGGGTTGCCGATCTCGGCAACATGCCGGGCGGCATATTTGTGTACGACATGGAGCTGAAGCAATATCCGAACATCGTGCTGGTCATGGTGAACAAAACGACGGGCGAGTACGATCTGAAGATACTTACGAGCGTGACCGAGAAGGACGATGGCTCGTTCTTCTCTAGGAAGAGCGAGAGGAAGGATGACATTCAGTTTGAAATTTCCAAGTACAGAAAGGCCCTGCCCCTCGACTACAAGCACATCTTGTCGGTGAGCTGCTGGGACCCGGACAGCCTCGGGCGGGAGGGAATTCTTGTGAACGCGGTCAACGATGGCAAGTACGAGTTGGCGTACTTCGAGAATAACCTGGAGGTGAACCACTACAAGCTCTCGCTTATCACTCTTGATGGACGGCGAATTGCCGATGGCAACATAGCGTACAACTGTCCGATCCCTGGCGTATCGTATCGAGTTTTTTTCGACAACAAGACCCTGGTGAACAACCAAATGACGCAGTCCACGTTCCTTCATCTGAAAAAGCCCATTGTCACATTTGGGCTGGGATCAACGAATATGTTGATCAAAAACATACAGATAGGCATTCCGCACGCCACGAGCATAATGGAGGTGGACCAGAAAATAATACCGAACTCTGATCTGGTGTTTACGTACAGGAACGGCAAGATATCGATCGAGCTTCTGTTGAAGTACGGTTACTACATTCAGATCGTGTTCATTGTGCTGCTGGTGGTGCTCTTCCTTAATTTGCTGGTTGTCCTGCTGTTCAGGTACTTGGAGCGGAGGAAGAAGAAGCTGGAAAAGAAGAAGGAATCGTCCGCTTTTAATTTTAAGGCACTGTGAGTTTGGCGCATTTGTTGTAGCAGGACTCGCTGAGGAACGGCTATCCTTGGCGATAAATAAAGACATTTCTTGATTTTGTGCCGTGCTGTCCGCAGTGGCACGGAAGAGTCCTCTTCATCGGTGCTCTTAAGCTGTAAATTTATATTTAGCAGCGATACGAGGACCCCTGTGTTTCTTGTCTACGCCGTAAACACCCATTTTGATGAAACATGTCTTCTCTGCATGCACAGGTTCTCACATCAAAAATTGAACCGGAATAGACCAAGCCATGTCAACGCGATAGCGTAAAAAACTGCAAAAAACGTATGAAATGGCGTGTTTGTCATCATCACACATCGCGCGATGCAAAGACACACCTTAAAACTGTACGTAATAAAAGACCTGCTGTTTTATTTACGATCTCTCACTCAGTTGAACTCATCGTCTTTGGTGTACTCGGCGTACACCGCCTCTGCCAGATTCCTCAGCTCGTCCGACGAACCGTACTGCAGGCCCTCGATGGTCTCCATCAGCTTGTCAATTTTGTTAATCTGCCTTGTCTCAAATAGCTTGTTGCTCCCCGTTTTACACACCTGCCACTCTCTTGCGGCCGTGATCACTCTTTTCATCGTTTTCAGGATCTGAATGCGTATCTCGGTGTACGTATCAAACGATTCGAGACAATCATCCAAAAACAGGAAATATTTGCCCGACAGTACAAGCTCGAAGTGCTCAAAGCACTCCTCGCAATGACTCATCATGTTCGTGATGGCCCAGCACGCCTCCATCTTTATGTAGTTTTGCAGATTCGTCGTACTGTACAGCAGGTCCATGATGTGCTCGTTCACCAGGCAGCTGATGTGGTCTTTGGTACCACACGCGATATTTGAGAAAATCCAGCAAATTTCCTTACGTAGCTTCTTTAGTGCAACATCGCCCTGGAAGTGCTGAAAAATGTCTTTCAAAATGCCCACCACATCTCTCTTCAGCAGCATATCGACATGCTCATCCTTCCCTGTTATGATATTCCCTACCATCCTGATGGCAGGCAGCATCACCTTCACCGAGTTGTACTCGTAGTGGTTTCTCAGGATATTCAATGTTTTGTCGAGCACATCCGTAGAATAAACCATATCAACCGCCTCAGCTGAGTTATCGCAGATGTATGAGAGGGCCCACAACGTGTCGTTGAGCACCTCATCGTCCTTGTAGTTGATGAGCTGCTGAAGCACTTCGAGCGAGGCCTTCATGTTCTCCAGTTTAGGTGGCGGATTCCGTCCCCTGTTAAGATTCGAGACCAACCACGTGCAATTCTTCAGCACTCTGAGCGAGGCATTAGTCTTGAGGAGCTGCGCTGCCAAGCTTATGACTATTTTGAGCACATCGCAATTTATCGCCGCATCGCGCATCTTTTCACTGTCGCCAGCGATGTTTCCGAATGCCCATGCTGCCTGGTCCACCAGGTCCTCGTCGTTCTCCTTGAGCATGTCGGCGAATAGCGGAATAGCACCGTAATCCAAAATGGCCTGCGTCTGCTCGCTTGTGCCCGACGCGATGTTGGTGAGCGCCCACGCAGCCTCCATTCTGATGCTGCGCACCATTCTTTTGTCTGCATTCTTGTATAACGAGCACTCTGCGGAGAGCAGCTCCACAAATCGTGGAACAAGGCCAGAATCAATCACACTCTGAATTGGTGGGGAGTTCTCGACGGAAAGGCTTGTCCTAAATTGGTTTATGCCCTTCCAGACCTCCTGCGGATCCTTGCTGAGCAGCAGATCCTTTTTTACCTTAAAATCGGAGATTTGGATAGACGCATCGTCAACAGCCATCGTTCTCTTTTTGTTGAGCAGCTCTTCCCTCTTCTTCTCTCTCAGTTCAATTTGTTTTTCCTCGCGCTGCTTCTTCCTGTTTTCTGTGGACGTATTTTGGAACATGAACGACTTTGCCATGAAGGGTCAAAATTTTAATTCTTTTGAAAACCGTGTTTTTTGCTTGAACCGGACCACGAACGGATTGATTTTACTGGCCCTGCCGCGAACGGATTGATTTTACTGGCCCTGCCGCGAACGGATTGATTTTACTGGCCCTATTGCGAACGGATTGATTTTACTGGCCCTGCCGCGAACGGATCATCCCGATAATCGCAACGGTGTGTAGCACATAGTGATAAACAAGCGTACGTATGGCTAGCACCAGCGTAAAAACGAATAACACAGCAGAACGTGGTCGTACAGTGAATAAACTATTCGTTGACAGATCATGTTTAATTTACCACATTCAGTTTACGCCTCGATAGCCAGGTGCATCACAAAACCCCTCATTTATTAGGCCGTAGCACGCTGAGAACAATTTTATGAGCCGTACGGCTTGCACACGGTTCTTGACCTAATTTATTTTTTGGCGACAAACATCAAAACAACGCTGAACGTGGTTTACAAATGCTGTTACTCAAGGGGATACTTTACTCAGCGTTGACATCAAGACGTGGTAATTTTAGCAAAACAATCTAAGATGTGATATGGCGTGTGCTCGTACGCAGAACATAGCAGAGGGGATAATCGACAACACACAGAAGTACCGGCCATGTTTTATACCGCACGAAGCAGTGCAATGCCCCTATGATAAGGTGCTCCGTATTTCACGTGATAAAAAAATACTTCTACGTTGGAAATATCACCATTTATCGCAGGTCACGGTGGTGCAGCTCGCCAAAGACAAATTGTAAATGTGGTACGTTCATTTGGTACGGTGCCGTAGAAACGCTCGGCAACGAGGCAGCCTGCCTTGCACCTGAGTTATTAAGCACGTGTAACCTGTTCTGCCACCACGACACGATCGATTTTCGTGTAAAACCTCGTGGTAGGAAGAGTCACCTCGGACAGGGTGTGTATGAACGTAACCGACCGTGAGAGGTGGTGTATTTGCTCATGAGGATGCGCAAGGAGAAGCAGACAAATTCAATTCATCATCTACGCCGTACCCCTCGCACAACTGCTGCAGTACAGAAAGTGATCACAACTTTATTTATATCAGTTTTTACCACTGCCGTTCTCCCGTGACATGCGGAGCATCGATGCTATTTCCAGTTCCTTGGTCTGTGCTCGTTCGTGTTTTTGAGATTTTCTTATTTTTTCGTTGCTGTTTTTCTTGGTGCTTCCCTTTTCAGACTCTTGCTTGCGCGAGGGCATGCTCTTCTTTGGCTGGTTACCTGCCTTGTGTTCGGTTACAACGCTCGGCTTGCCCGGTCCTTCCACCGGCTTTGGCGTATCCTCGTTTTCTACATCGGCTGCATCCGTTTTTTTGGTATTTTCTTTTTTTTTTGTGCTCGTTGTGCCGATGGCTCCGCTCTTCGCCTTTGCAACGACCGTGGCAGCGCCTTGGTCCGACACGCTTGTGTTGGTGGCTGGTGCATCATTTGGTGTTTTTAAAGGATTGCTGATGCTGTTTTCTTCGTTTGGTGGAACATCGGCTGTGTGCAACAAATTGGCTGCATGGGATGAAGACGGTGCGGCACTCGCGTGAGCGGGTGAAGACGGTGTGGCACTCGCGTGAGCGGATGAAGACGGTGCGGCACTCGCGTGAGCGGATGAAGACGGTGCGGCACTCGCGTGAGCGGGTGAAGACGGTTCCAAATCCTTAAAATCACCGGTATTCGCCGTTAAGTCACGGTACACCGCACTTGAAGTGTTCGCGACATCGCTGCCGTCCACACTCGAACAATTCTCCGCCTGCTGCTCACTTGCATCGCTCTCATCGCTAAAAACCATCGGTTCAATCCCCGCCAGTCTAAGACCGTCCTTAACCATTTTGAGCTGTCCCTTCAAATAATAGAAATAGTCCCTCAACAGCAAATTAATTTTATCTGTGCTGCTCCAGAGGTACCGTTTTCGGTTGTAATTGACGTACTTGCCCTCCCAGTTGGTTGTTACGCACCATGAAAGAGCCTTTGAGGCCTTGTCCACGTCGTAAATCTTTATGACCTTGCACTCATCGGAGTAGCGTACAGAATCACTGGTTGACGGTATTCCCGCACTGATCGTGCTCAAGTACTGCAGCATCACCTTTTCTAGGGTGTATTTCCTGTACCTCTTGGTTTTGTATATTCTTCTGAGGTTTGTGCCGTATTTGTTCAAATACTTTTCAAATTTTTGGGCATCTTTGTCGTACATGTACATTTTTAGGGGTTGCTCTAAAAGCGGATGAATGAGCACAAGGGGTGGGCTGGCGGAGATTGCAAATTATTCGAACGAGAAACACAGACACCGTGTATCGCACCACGAACAAAGTTATATGTGGCACAGATCATAGCTGGGATGGCAGCATTGGCCACACGATGTTTTGGTGAAGGTATGCTTGATCAACGCGCACAGTGCCATTTCCTTGCCTGTACACGTACGATGAGCGGTACAAAGAACGCAATCCATCAAAACGGGGAACACCGCCAAACACGAACGTTGATACCTCTGCAGAACGTATTCCGGCCCATAAGCGTATTTTGACCGAACAACGAAGGTGCACATGCCCGGAGCGCTTGCTCAAAACTCTGCAACAACGATTACAAAGATAAAAGAAACGCACCTGACCGTGATAGCAAAAATACTGCGGCACAGCACCGGGCATGGTCATTCCATGCCCGTTCATCTACTCCTGCCGCATAGCACGCGTACTTTTTACTTTAAGCCGTTTACCTACCAGGGCATGTACCACACACCGAAATCTCCCACATGATAAAAAATTTTAATTTTGTGCAATTACCGTTATTTAATTAAAAAGGCGTGCCATTAAAAGAAGCGATGGCATTTCATCGCCAACAATTCTTCGCGTTAAACACCCCTCATTTTTCCATCTCAGTGTTAAAATTTTTGTGTCGACATCAGAAGCACAAAACAGCTCACAGGGCGCAAAAATCTTTCATCCGCACTGCACTGTCCTAAATTTCACCATTCACCAACGGAAAACCTTTGCAGAATTTCTTACCTTTCCACATTAACATTAACCTACAAATTTACACAACACCTTACACCCCGCTGTTGCGGCTCTTCACCATTTACGCATCACTCCTGTTTTTAGCGCTTGTGGATGTTCGCCATTAACACAGGAGGCTCTCTTCAATTCATCGATCGTTTTCTACGTTTACCGCAAGGGAGCTGAAAACCTTGGCCCCACGCTCGTTCCTAACACCACATCATGGTAGCGCTCGAGGTTTGTTCTTCGTGCCAAGACATGTTAAATTCTTTTATTAAGCGTGCGAGCGGTGTACCAAGTAAATGAGCGCGCTTGTAGAAAATAGAAAGTTCTGTTTCAACCGTGGTGTACAGCGCGATACGGCATATAAACAGATCGTTGGACAGAACGCGTGGGAGAACATGCCTCAAAAGAGCGTACTAAGAACATTTTAATAAACCGAGAAGAGCGAACTGTTCACAGCACCTCCATTCACCTCCTCACTCATCTCTTGTAAAAAACACGGTCATTCCGATGCAGAAGAGGATGATTATCTTAATCCACGGGAATGTGTTGATCCAAATCGTAATCATACCAAAGTACGGTATGCTCCCAAACACGCACGATATTATATCGCTTGGTTCCAGCATGTACTGTCCAGGACGATAGAGCGGCACATCGTCTCTCATGTTGTTATCGCCTTTCGTGAGCACCTTGCTGCCCAGCTTTCTTATAGCGCGGTGCACGATCGGAATCTCCTTCTTGTTGATTTGAAAGACCGTCATGTCTCCTACGTCATACGGCCGTGGCGACAGGAACAGAATGTCACCGCGTTTAAACCCAGGCTCCATGCTTTCGCTCAGTACCACTACAATTGGTGAATCGTTGTTTAGGAACAGGCCTATAAGCTTCCACAGCATGTATGTGCCCATCACGGAATAGCTTGCATTCACAAATTGCAGCAGCAGCTGCCTTTTCGACATTCTCTTGAGGCTCCTGATTTCCTTGGGGGAGAAGAAAAGATCAAACATGGGGTCGAGCCAGGGGAGAATGAAAATAATAAACAAATTTTGATCAGAAAATGGGGTCAAAGCTTTCAGAGGATAAAACGTGTATGGTCGTGTGGAAAGGTAAATAAACGTACTTTTAGCAAAAAAAGGTACGGAGCAATGATTCGTTGCGTATCACAATGAGCAATAAAATGCGGTTTATCCGATTAGAGCGTGCTGCTTGGGAGGTATTTTGAACCGAATTGCTGTCTCTTCAGGGCTGGTATGAGCGCCGTTCCCGAGCACGTGTTAAAGCGCCGTGTAATTGTTTGCCCCAAATGGAGGATGCCATAAACATCGTATCAGACTTGACCAAGTCGTTCCAGGAGGCTGAACCGGTAAGGTACAGCCGCTCGTCACCAAAGAACGACCAGGAACAGATACTAGACGATCTAAAAGAGAGCAATAAGCTGCTGAAAAGACAAATTGCACAACTAAAGACCGAGCTGAGGAACCACGACCTGGTAAAGGAGAAGAATGACGGTCTGTTCATGAAATGCAACAATGAAAGATTCAGACACGCAAAGCGCATCGTATCGCTGGAGAAGGAGATCGAGGACTTGAAATGTAAACTGGAGCAGTGCAAGGAGGAGGAGAACAAACTGCAAGAGAACATCGGTCTGATCAAACAGCCATCCGCCAACACTCTGTTCCTTGAACTGATGAGCGGGTTCAACCTGCAATTTTACAGGGGGAAGTGCAAGGTGATAAATGTGAGAAAGAACGATGTTATTGAAATAGAAATGGCAGAATTGAAGGATCATGAGATAACCAACAAGATATGGCGGTCCTTATAGCGCGTGGCACCGTTGAGCGTTAGAATAACAAATAAATGATTTTAGTTGGTGCATAGCGTTCTTACCGCATTTTGTAGCACTGCCGTGCTGATGGGAATGGCAAGCGTTCCTATGTTGATGGCAGGGCAGTGCTCAGAACTCTGCCGTGCTGATGAGATAATCTCGCGCGTTAACAAGCGGCTCTCACACGGCTGGCAACACATTCCCTTAAAATATGCCACTGTTTATTCCGTAGAACCGTTTGAAGGGCGACATTGTGCGTGTTGATGCGCGATAGCAAAGAAAATGCTTTTAGTGAAAAGTTGTGCGAGCAATCGATCAGGTTGTTCTTGGCATGCAGTCACCTGCCCGTTTCCTGAAGGCGATCATTATCGGGAAGCTACAAGGTGTTTTAACCGCGCCTACTGGACCGGTGATACAGAACTCTTTCCGCATTTTCTACGCTTGCGATGCGCAGTAGACGGCCGTTTTCATCAAAAGATCCACAATCAACGAATACAATGATCTACACGGTGCCGTGCACACCAACATTTCACTGGTGCTCACTCTGTGATCCATAGGTGTTTTTCTGCCTTTTTCACGTAACAGGCCGCCTTTTCCACCAGGTTTATATCCATGCCATCCAAACACACATAAAGAGCGCCAAGAACAACACCATCTTCCAAATACCCGTAGAATCTGATCCAGCTTCCTTCTCTGCACGTAATTCCCACGTCATCACCAACAAACAGCACAAGATATGTTTTGTATTCAAGAATTACGCTGTTGCAGCCCACAACCTCCTTTATCCTTGCAAACGAGTGAATTTCTCCGTTGTCTCTGCGGTTGCACAGCGTACGAAACATGGGAGTAGCAAACGAAAGAAAAAAGTAGAACGTACACGCTGAAGACCCTTCCTGTGCAAGTTAACGGCAAGTTCCACTTATTTATTCAATCCATGTCTATTATGTCCTCCTCACCTATAAATTCACATAAATTGTCCACGATGCTGCAGAAATATGTGTAATCCGAGTTTTCGTCTTCGCTTTTCTTGATCATTGACCTGAGGATTAAAAAACAAAATAAAAGGGCCGAACCGTTGAAGAGGACGAGCACACATTTTTTGTGTTCATGTTTGGTAAGTAAACATGGTTAGCGGGTTGTATTGATAATACATCATAAATTGCACTCAAATTTAGTTAAAAACCTGTTTTTGCCATTAATTGCGTTTGTTTCATTCCCGTATAAATGATCAATTTATCATTTTTGTTTGTGAAAGGTGTCTTATTCAATTACGCTGTGGTGTGAAGCAGTAAATTTATATTGATTGTTTACGAGATGGTTTGTGAAATGGTTTGCGAGATGATTTGCGAGATGGTTTGCGAGATGGTTTGCGAGATGGTTTACGAGATGGTTTGTGAAATAATTTGTGAAATGATTTACGAGATGCTGTCGCAGGATATTGGCTGGATATGTCATCTCAGAGGTAAAACGGGTGGGCACACTCATCATGAAGCGATATTGCCGTACAAGGCATTAAACAGCAGAATTCGTAAAAACTGTACACCTCGTGGTAAGAACGCTGTCTTGCGGTTGTTCGTTGCATTTTGATAAGTTTGTGAGCACGAGCGTAGCGGAGATGCTTTCTGCACAATGTGAGGTACCACGCCTTCAAACCGCTTGCAAACACGACAAGATCTAAGAATGCGTGCCACGGTAAATTAAACCAATAATAATGTTTGTGAATGCAGCTCGCGCCATCCGTGTGGCACACGCCTGTGTCAACGGTTGGCAAATAAACGCATTCTTAACGAAAAAACGAGTGCTTTACACCTAAACGATGCAGATCTCGCACAAACAGCAAAATGTAAAACAACCCTGTTTATTGTACTGCTCTGATCTACACACGTTTTAATACTCGCGCTCTCTTTCCATCTTCTTCATACAATCGATAAACAGTTCAGCGTGCGCTACCAAGTTGTCACTGCCAGAAAAAGGCTGTTCAGTGCCATCCTGCAGGTACTGATCGTACTCTGACCAATTGAAGGAATCGGTCGTACCTGTTCCCAGGTAATTTTCAGGCGATTCTAACCGTTTTATATAACCGCATTTGTTCGACTTGTTCATACCCTCCGAGCTAATTTCGTAATAACTGATATTATTTAATTTTACAGTGCCGTCTTTTATGGTAGCAGAGAACGTTTCGTCTATCTCCTGCATCGACTTTTTATCTTTCCGAGTGATAAGCAAAAGATTTTCTGCGCAATTGCTCATCTTTGTTGGTTTCTTTAGTTTATGTGCCATTTGTTGTTTTAATTTGTTTGACATAAATTTTAAAATTTGTTTTTACCACGGAGAATGTGCCATCAAGACTTAGAAATACAAGGATTGTGTTTTTAAGTGCAAAATATCGCTTTATGCGTATGCTACGAGATTATTTCTGCTGTGGGGCACACCACCTGGTTTATCATATTTTGTTCTCATCACGTAACGAGAACAGTGTTAAAACATGTGATTAATTCCTCTAATTCCATAAGGACCCGCTAATGTTCGTCCATGTTCTGTACACAAAACCAAAAATTATACTTTTCATGCATAAAATGTTCATCCTTTCCTGTCGTACAGCTGCAAGCTGCGAATTGAATCATCTTAATGTTCTTTGTTGGTGCTGTCTGTCTTTGCCGCATGGTGGAGCAATGCAGTGCTAGGTCGTTTTTTAGCAGGCAAATACAATTGTGTGGTATAGCACGCTTTTCATAGAACATGCAATTTCAATATTAGCGCGCAAGCAAAACAGCCAGAACATAGCGATGTTATCGACAAGCACCGTATGATGCCCATTTCCAAAATTATTTATTGCTTTAACACAGATGACGGTTTCTCTCACCAATGATAACCGTGGTATTGTCAGTACGTTTGATTTTCGTATTGCCATCCACCGCAAAACGGTTAGGGCCAGAGGTAATCTGGTGCACTGATACATCTCTTACAACACAATAATGCTTTTCCTGTCTGCTACTCCTGATATGACCACTCCATTTTTTGCAAGATCAACCCTGCACGCAAGTACACGGTTTATCATCATGAAATATTTTTTACCGCCTCTAGCCCTAAAAGATGATAATTTATTTATTGTTGACCTGCAGGACATTCATTCGTGCTATAGCACATATACAAACCACTATAGCGTGTCCTTGTCCCCCGTTATAAACAGGAAAGCGCAAGTAATAACCATCTCCATGAACAGACACTCAAGCAACTACCCATGGTAGTTCTTACGCAGCCATTATCAGCGAACCTATACCTGCCACAACTAAACCTCCTTTACAACCATTATTACTTTATATATCGTGATTTACACCAAACCGGTTTTCTAAATCATAGAAATGCGCAGGTGTTCCCAGCACATATTCGTACCTCATGTGTTCATCAAAGCTTCTGAAATAAAAATTGTAATTTTTATCAGGTACCAGGAAGTATCCATCGGCACACAAAAACGATGCCTTGCCAACAGCGAACGGTACTTTGAAATGGCTGTGTATGTTCATCATCTGCTCATCGGTACCGCTGACGAGCACCATGCCTGTTATGTCATTTATATCAATTACCGGATCGGAAGGTAGCATCACAGACTTGCCGTTGTAGTACTGCGGTGGTAGCGCAAGGAAATAATCTTTCGGGTGGGCGGTACGCGCGACGTACCGTTTAGCGCTGTATATCTTGGTAAAATTGCCTTTGAGCACGAGCGCTAGAAGAGGAATCTGTGGAGAACTGATCTCTAGCAGCTTATCGATCAAACATTTTGGGATTTGCAAGGATTGTCCATGTTTAGAAGAAAATACCATGTCTTGGTACGTATGAGATAAAATAGCTTCTTCTGAAAGAGCAGTGCATTTCAAACCGTTGGCCATCAAATCGAAGGTTTGTGAACGGTTTAAATCGGCATTTACCGGTCCATCACATTCATCATCACCGTTTTCGCTGTAATTGGCATCGGACCGTTTTTGCCTGTTTATGAGTACCATCTCGTACCGTGCGAATGTCTCCCTCATGATTTGTTTCGTTCCATGCTCGGTAGATTGCATAACTCCATGCGACATAAGTGCACTATCAACCCTTTGTTCTCCGCTATGATTCAGGGCCTTCTTCTTCCCAGTATTTCTATCCCTACTCGTATGTGTCCCGCTGTACTTAAACCAATTCTTCCATTTTTCATCAACTTTTACCTCTTTGTTCGTACTCCGCACCTTCTTTTCAATTTCATCACCTATCCTGTCCCGCGTTCTAATTCTCAAATCCTTGTAAACATCCACATCCATTCCAAACACAATCTCCTTCACTTCGGTATTGGAAAGCAGCCGTTTTATGCCGTGCTCCTCCTTGTACTTATTTATTATCACGTCCTTCAGAAAATGCTCCATTACAATCAACTCCTTGTCATCTTTGTACCCGAATATGTCCCTGACACTGAGTACCAAATTCTTTGAAATGCGGTAGGCATTCAAAATGAGAACAAACCTGCAAAAATTCGTGTATGATGAATATTTCCAGTGTTTGTAGATGTTTATGCCGTTGTTGCGGAGTTGTTCCTTCATTTCCTCTGTTAGGAGTGTCCGTAACGCCGGAAAAAATATTTTGCACTTGGATTTAACGCCTTCCGACCTGTCCATCACAACGCAGCTCTGTGTACTTCCCGATGCATTCTTCGCGATAACGTGCCCGTCATATCCCCGTTTACTGTTCAAACTATCCTCGACGGTCAGAACTCCCGTTCTTGCATTAAACATGTACTCCTCGTACTTTATGATCGAATTGCTCAACTCCTTCATACCAACCACTTTTTCGTTAACCTCTAATCCCAGTGTTTTTAGTATTCTGCTCCTCAGCACCTCGTATTCCCTAAGCCCTGCAAGCTGTGGCAACTGCAAATTCACCGGCAAACAACCAAACGCACAGACTTTGTTGTAGAGAAGATCAACTCCCACTACAAAGCCCTTTTCACAGGGATAAAAGCACAGCGGATCATTTTTAAGCTCTAAATAACGGCGCTGCGTGTAAACACCGATATCATTTGTTTTGTGATTGCCCCATGTGAACTGCACATCACACCAAAGGGCATCTGCTTTTACGATGCTGCTCATATCACGAGTAGCGCATGGTATGTTTGATCGCACTTGCACCGTATTTTCATCCCCATGAGATGATACCGATACATTTTCTTCGTATTGCGCGCTTTTCATCTCGTTTATTGTCTTCCTAGGATCTTGTACACTTAAGCGATCATTCACCCCGGCATTCTTATATTCGTAGCCCTTCTCGTCCTGCCCATACACATACTCCCTATCACGGGCAGTTTGATGGGTGTATGAGCACTCCTCATCACCTAAACCTTTTTCACCGGTCAAGGACATGCCATTATTCACCCGTTCATGATGCTTCATTGTATTCGTGTGTTTCCTGCCACTGGACCGGTCCTCACCTGCCATGCCTTGCGCATCACCGTGTTTTATGTCATCTACAGGTTCACCACCCTTACCACATGTCTCACCACCCTTACCACATGTCTCACCACCCTTTCCACATGTCTCACCACCCTTTCCACATGTCTCACCACCCTTTCCACATGCCTCACCACAACATTTCTTATCGTAATATTCTCCATCGTACACCGAAACATTCGCAAAAACGGCATCTGCTCCCATCCCGCCATACCATTTTTTACCATCAACTACCATTTTCTTACATCCGTTCATCCTCACTAACTCAACCACGTACCCCTCACAAATCTTCATCCACAGGTTGTCCCTAAAAATCTTCAGATACGACATTTTCAATGATGCCAGCTTACCATGCATGACAATTCCTGACTTGTCCATCACAGTTGCATATCCGACATACACATCCGATGTGTTTATGAGCGGTGACCAGTAAAACACGAATCGTCTGTTTGGAAACAGCCGGGCACCGGACAGCTGTGCCCTTGTCATCGTGCCGTATGTTGTGGTGTGCCACAGTGTTTGGGGATCGTACGGCGTGTTTATGGATGCAAGCACTGATTGACTGATAATGCGTTCAGGGCCACCAAAAAATTCCGTCATATCGTACTTGTACCGCCTGGTAGACCATAATTTGCCATCGAGAGTGCTGCTGAAGTGTGCGAACGGATTATCTCCCGTGCTGTACCTTTTATATCGCCCTCTGATGCGCACATTTCTTACGACTGTTTCGTCGCTCGCAGTACATTCCTCACCTGCATGCCCACCTCTTGCAATCATTCCACGCCTTCTCTCCGTACGTCTTCTACGAACAAATTCGCCATGTTCATCCAAAATTTCGCTCCACGGCCGGACATACTCCGTGAGCGAGGGCACATTGTTGCCAATGCTAAACATCCCCAAACCGCCCAACTCAACAGGTGCGTAGAAAATTACATCCGGGAATCGCGTGGGCATTTTGGAATTAATATGATTTTTTATCAGATTCAGGATTCTGTCCTCCCATTTGAGCACCACTTTCTTATGCTCGTCCGTCAGAAACTCTCTGTAGGTCACCACAAGGCTAAGCAGGTACATATTCCACTTCTCAATGATGTTCAGGAACGACTGAAAGGCGTTAATGTTTCTTATATGGTGCACGAACGAGCACATGCTTTCAATGGCAACCATTCTGCTCACATGCAGGTTATGAAATGAAAACTCGTTCGCTGTGAACACACGGTCACAAACCGCAAAAATGGACGTGAAACAGCCCCTGCGTGCTAACACGTTATCAAGGTATTGGTCATCAAACATTCGATCGCTGCGTGCTATGATCACCCTGTCGTCCTGTCTTACATAGAATACGCCTTGTTCTTTGAATAGGAAATCGATTGCAGCATAGTATGCCTCATAGATCAGGAACGAAAATTCAAATCCTTTGAGAACACCTATTCGGTTCACAAAGTTAATGTCCTTGTACACAACCGTGCAGTTCAGCCGGGCTATCAAATACTGCACAATGTTGGTGTCAATGAAAATGCTGAGCACGTGGTGTAGCAAGTTCAGATCAATTGGCAGTGTTTTGATCCGGAAGGTGCAGAAGAATGAAAACGCCTTTAAACGGAAAATATTGCGAATAAAAAGATCTTCGGTTCTGTTGAAGAAGTAGGAAATCCACAGATCAACGAATGAATCGATTTGGCGCTCCTCCTCGCTAACTTCGTATGTTGGTACTGCCGAACTGATGTTGTCCCTCAGTTTGAAATGCACCTCCTTGAACACACGCTGTGTTAGAATTCTGTTTTTAATCTCTGAGAGGGGCAGTGCATCTTCCACGTTCATGCTTCTGAGCATCTCCTCGTATATTTTATCTTCAAGTGGTTTATAATCTGCAAATAGCTCGTGAGCACGCTGTCCTCTCTCGTTCGTTGTTTGTTCACTTCCTGCTTCGTTTTGGCCATTTTTTCCTCTCAGGTCATTGGAACATTCTCGTTGTTCGTTGATGCTTTTGTTCTCAACAGAAGTATCTTTTACCTTCCTGCCTTTCACATCACAAACCTTTTTAATCTCACTTTTTTCCCGTACCTTGTTGAAGGGCATATCCTGCGATCGATTTACTTCATTCCCGGCGTCAAAGCGAAGCTCTTCATCATTCATTGCACTGAGCGGAAAAGGTACGTACTTACCATTTAACACATCTCTCATCAGCTCGTAGAAGCGAACACTCTCTTCAACATTCATTTTCATGTTCATAATTTCGTTTTGTCTCGTAATCTCTTTTCTGAGGTACAACCGTGCTATCCTTCCGATGTTTTTCCTTTGCTGTGACTTATCAATGTTACCGCTGTACATCCTTCTCCTGTTCATTACCGTGTTGCGCTCGTATCGCTTCATCTTCTCCTGGATGTACAGTTTTATGATTCTGTCCAGCTCAACGTTGTTTGTGGAGTAGCTGAGACACGCCTTGTAGCTGCGCCACGCCTCTGTAAGATGTTCCAAAACGTGTTTGTTGTTCGTCTCTGCAAGTATTGCATCACGCATGTGTATCTCCTGTGCACTTTCTATGCGCTGTGAGGTAATCGTTTTCGGGTGAACTTCCCTTTTGTTGAGCACTCTGCGGGCAAGATTAGAGGCGTAGCGGTAGAGCAGAGGAATGTGTCCTCTAAAGAACGACAACCAAATGCGCAGCATACAATCGATCGAAAGAGTACCCTGGCGTTCATCCACCCGCCGTATGCACTTGCATTTCTTGATCTGCCGCATGATGCGATACTTGTGCCGGTACGCAGCCGTGTATTTCCCAACATTGGTCAGCACATCGTACACCGTGTTTATGAACATATGCTGATGGGCCATGCCGCTCCTGAATGCAACGTGTGCATCAACAATACACTTAAGGAACTTGAGCAGCTCTCTGTTCAGGTGAAACGTAAGACCGATTCTTCCTCTTTTTCTCTCCTTTGTTGTGATATCGCGGCTCTTTTTCAGATTAAAATTGCCGTCCACGTACAAGAACGTGAGGTCCTTGGCAAAGAGCACACTGGACAGGATCACATGGCCCTGTCGTAAGAGCTGCAGTGCTGCCTCCAGCCAATCAATTTCTGTCTCATAGAAGAATGGTGAATGTAACACTTCGTTGTACGTCTCCGATCGCGTGTTCTTCCTGTTTTTATACTCCTTCACACCGTACAGCGATCTGAGAGTGTTTGCATGGTGCGGGCTGATCGTGTTTATGCAACGTACTCTCGTTTTTAAAGGCTTTTTGATGCGTAAATTTGTTCTCGCATGAGCAGCACTTGTCAGCACGGGCTGTGCGCAGAAATTCGTAAAATTACCAGGATCGTACAAAAGGATTGGCTCATCGTCTTCTGAAAGCGGCACACGAATTAAATCATCGCTCTTTCTTGTCAAAACACCACATCCACGCCTTTTAACCCGCTTTGCAACCGTTAAAATGCCTGTCTTGTAGAACATCACTTTCACGTATTTTAGCTCGGTGAGCGGCATCGTTGACAGCAGGTTAGAGATTGCCAGTGGTAGGTATGGTAGCGCGGTTATGTAATCTCTGTGCTTGTCCTTCAGTTGTTCTACTTTTTGTCGGAGTATTTCGGGCTGTACAAACGGCTTCATGTTCTGCAGTTGCGCGGGGTTAATAAATTCGTTTCAGCATAGTGCAGAGACACGGAATGACACCTCTCAGCGAATAGACTAGCGCGGCGTAGGGAACACGCCAAACAATACAGGTAAAATGATTGCACGTATAATTGTAAACGTGTATAAAAGATAGAAATGTGTTTTGACAGTTTGTACATCCTACAGGTAACATATCGTTCTAAAAAGAGATCGATGAAGCGTAAATAATGAGTTGGTGCTGTGTAAAGCAATAAAAGTATTTTTGGCGAAAGTTTCATCGTTCTGAGTAAATTTTGGTAAAAAGTCTGTAGCGCATCGTCCACCGGAACAATTAACGCTCTGCGGTAAGGAAACAAGCAAAAATATATAAATGCAAATTGCGAATGAGTAGAAGCGGAGTACCAAAGT